GTCTCTGTGTGTCTCTCATGCATCCCTGTCTCTCTCTCTCTCTCTCTCTGTGTGTCTCTCATGCATCCCTGTCTCTCAGGGAGGCTCATGGTGTCATAGAGTAGAGTTCAGATGCTGAATGCTGGTTCTGTCCATCACTTTATCAGTCTGTCTTTCCTCTCGCTTCTTGTTTTATACCTTTGCTCTTAACCTATTTGACCGTCTACACTAGTTTGGAATAATTAAGACTTTAAAATGTTTTTGAAGTAAGTCTCTTCTGCTCACCAAGGAAAAATTAATAAAAAATTAAAATAGCTTTTTTCTATGTGAATATATTGTAAAATGTAATGTATTTCTGTGATGCGCAGCTGTATTTTCAGCATCATTACTCCAGTCTTCAGTGTCACATGATCTTCAGAAATCAGTATAATATGCTGATTTGCTGCTCAATTATTATTGATGGTGAATTACTGGTGCTCAAGGGCACATTAAATTGATCAAAAGTGACAGTACATATATTTATAATTTTGTAAAAGTTTTTTTTCTTCAAATAAATGCTGCTGAAATCTTAAAATATATTCAAATAGAAAACAATTATTTAAATTTGTAATACTTTTTCATATCACTGCATTTTTCACCAAATAAATGCAGTCTTATTGAGCAGAAGAGATCTTCGTCTTCCACAAACAATCCCAATTATTCCAAACTTTTGACCGGTAGTGTATATTTTTAGGGGGTTTTATTGTATTTTGTTTTATCTTAAGCGTTCACAAGTTTCACTTGGATCTTATGATTATATGATTTGCATATTTCTTCATCAGTGTTGTTCTGTCAGTTCTTGAGCTCAGTGGTCATTATTGGAGGCATTTATTTTAATTTTCTTGAGGAGTTGAAACTTGAGCTGTTTATCATAAATTCACCCTCACAAACATTTCCTCACAAAGCGAAGTGTTTTTTTTTTTTTTTGGTCAGCAGGTTGTCTGTCTGTGGTATTGTGTGATGTGGTCTGTAACTATAATGCTTTG